CAGCAGTTCTCCTGCTGTTTTTGTTTCACCTGATGACGGTTGCTTGTGTTGCGATCGAAATGTCGTGATCTATTAATTTTATATCTACATAACTTTACAGATAAGGGAAACGGTCATACATATGCCTGGGAACCCTAGTATCTTCAAAATTAATGTTAACTCAAAACTCCAAGCACACAATTTCGGCTGTCTGGCTACAAAAATAATATTTATGAAAGCAAAATTCAGTTAACATAGCAAAGGGTGTTGAAAGTAATACTATTTGTTTCATTAGACCTCTTTTGCCAGTACCAAAATATAATAGGGTTTTTCCCCTTTTTTTTCTGGCAACAAAACTGAAACCTTTTTACAAGGATTCATGTCTGCATTAACCACAATACCTGCAGTTAAAATGCAAACAAAAAACATACTATGATAATATATGCATCGTCCTTAAAACTGATTGGTCCACACCAAGGGACAGCTTTCTTTAGAGCCCCCACCCAATTGGTGCTCGATCAGATGATGCCAAAAGGCCTTTGTTTGCATTTTGACTGCAGGTATTGTGGTTAATGCAGACATGAATCCTTGTAAAAAGGTTTCAGTTTTGTTGCCAGAAAAAAAGGGGAAAAACCCTATTATTATAATACTATGTGTTATACAGAAATGCGTAAATTAATGTTCAATCGCAACTTAGAGGTGTGAAGAAGCCAGGCTCAGATTTCCTTGAACACTCGGATGAACTGATCTAATTTCAGCTGCCTATGTGTATGTAGATTTGAACGGAAAACAAAAATAAACGACTGTTTTGATTTAACCTCTGTGTTCAAAATAGTTAATATACTTTACAGCAAATACAAACTTTACACTGTCACACACTGCTAAAAAGGTGGTGTCCAGAACCATGCCTGGCCAACTTAATCTGCTCAGTGTTAATGCTTCCTCACTTCCCAATGTAATTAACTTATCAATAATGTTTGCTGCAGCCGATAATCAAACTCTAATTGTTGAGTTCATGACGCAGTGAAATAACTGCCCCACCGCTCCCCACATAGATACATTCTTACATACACATACATTTCACATGGATCATTAACAGATTATATAAACAAAATAGCCACCATTCATCACGAATTGTAAGTAACCTTATCACAGTGCTCATGCCATGATAGGTGAAATTTAAGGCCATGTAAGTGTGGATCACTTGTCAGCAGGTCAGTGTCAAGGAATGACTGATAGATGCACCAGCTGTGTTCCGCATGGTTTTGCTGGGTTTTAGGAACCCACCGTTCCACCCATTCATGTGAGCATCGCTCATTCGACCTCATTGTTGTTGCAGAGCAAATACCTCCAACTGCCCTGCAGCATACCTCACGGGACTCCTCCACAGAGGCCGATCTTGACACTCCTGGTACCAGTCAATGACAGGTCCGATCACCTCCACATCCTTAAATCTCTTCTCTAGCTAATGCCATCCCTGTTTAGCCCCTAATATCTAGACTAATAGATGCTGCTTGAGCATGCAGTGTCTTGGAATGCGGGATTCATGACCAAACCAATGCTGCCTTGCCTGCCAAAGAGACTCATGATTACATTCTATATCGTTATCTTAAGGATCTGTAAGCTTCTAATACAATATAGTCTGGTTGACTAGAGGATGAATCATAGGCAGGCCAACCTTCATTGTATAAGCCAGTACAAACGGTTATTTAAATACGTTCATATTCTGCATCCAGAGAGTAATAATATCTGTGGCCAAGAAGAATCAGAGCTTTGTTCGTTCCTTCTTTTCTAAATCCGCTTGTCATGGTGAGGATCGTGGTGGCAGCATGTTGAGTAGGACAGCCCACATTTCCCTTTCCCTGGCGATAAACTTTAGCTCATCCTGGGGAATTCCCAAACGTTCCCAGGCCAGCTGAGCAACATAGTCCTGCCAGCGTGTCCTGGACCAGCCCCCGGGGTCTTCGCCCAGTGGGACGTGTCTGGCAGAATTTCAAGGGGAGTCTATTGGGGGGCTTCCTTACATAAATTATATTTTTATATCATCCCTAGAGCCAGACCCAGGGGTTGTGTTCGCCAACAAGCGCCTCGTGGCTGGGTGACCCACGTAACCCAGTCGGGCCCAGCTCAAAATGGCTACGCATCGATTAGCGTATCATTGCAACTGTAACGAATGCAATGTTTTTATATGACCATTGTCAGCTTCTCAAACTACATAGTTATTAAATATGCTATGTAATGTAATGCACCGTAGCTAAAAGTTAATTTGTCACAAGCCAAGTTGAACAGGAAATGGCTCCGACTCCTGGTCACGCAGCTTTAGAAGGGCCTGCCCAAAATCATAAAATCCTCAACAAATGTGAACAGAGACAGAGATATCGAAAACAAAGAACAACCCAAAGCCCCAAGCCTCTTTATGGTACTATAGGCCTTAATCACATTAAGAAAGCAGACCTAGTTTCTGCTGAAAATCCGTACTCATCTGCTGTAGTCGATCGACAGAAAATACAACTGCCCCTTGATTATCGCGAAGGTTACGTTCTTGGAAAGTGCCGGGTAAAAGCTAAAAGTGCGATATTCAAAACTTAAGCCTTACCTACGTAATTGCGAAAAAGCCCTGGGCATTCGCACTACTTCTGGTTTGCCACACACGCCAAGACATTATGACATTTCATATACTACAATTCCACGCACTCATCATAGCATAAGTGTCTGCACTGCACTGCTATATTTGTTCTCATATTTACCACGATATCCTTCCCGATTATCAGCCCTGCGTTTATGCCGCCAAATTCACCCACTTCCTTACTGCCCTCTCTGCACGTGCATGGCTCGCCTCTAACACACACTGCAATATTTGTATTAAAAAAATGGACTATTCTAAAATATCGACATCTACGTACCAACACTACCGACCTCCTTCTACACATAATAGAAGCTATACAACAGCTACGACTAAATACATCCAAGTCTACATCGCCTGGTAAGGAATAAAAAGCATGCACATACACACACTCACATTAAAATAATGATATGTACACACACCACCACACACATACTATTAATACCCACATCAAGCACTACTCTGTCCAACAACTTACAGCCTTATACTTCGTTCCTTTGCGGCTTTGTCTTCACATTCCGACAACAATTACACATTCAACTTTCATTTCAATAACAATCTCTATATCGCATTCACTCACACTCACTATTTACCCTTTTTTATGCTTATTAACTGTTACCTCCACCTATGTTCCTCGCGGAAAACGTGCGCTTCTTCTCACCAAAGCCCATCACAATAATTGATGCCATTTGTACAAGTGCTGCTATGCCTGCACCTACAGCGAATGCAACTCCTCAACAGCAATGAGCTACACAGAAAATTAACACAGCACAAATGGCTGCTGCCACAGCAAATTATCAAACTCCAGTCCACCATTAAGCAAGGCAGCTTGCAAACAGCACTAAATGACATCAACCAGGTGCCTACCCTGCAGCCAAAAGGAAACTTTTCTTTTCCATGCATTCCTCACTTCATTTACACTTCTGATCCATTAGTTGCCATTGGTTCCATGTCTACATCTTGCTGCTACTGCCATGCAATGACATGGAAAGAAGACCCTCCAGGGCTATGCTGCAACAGTACCATGGTTAAGTTGCCTATAATTAATGACCATCCTGAGCCTATTCATGCATTGATACCTGCCAACACTACACCTATGCAAGCCATTTCCTAAACAACAATACAAGATAGAACTCATGCTTCCAAATTACATCTTTTGGCACCAACCAACTCATCCCAACATCTGGCTACATACCCACATTTAAAGTGCAGGGCCAGGTACATAATCACATTGGCAGTCTGCTGCCACTACCTAATGCTCTACCTACATTACCACAGATCTACTTGCATGTCTGACAATACTAGACAGGCTCACCAGCATTGCAACAATGTCATCAACACCAAGATGTAAGCCCTACTGCAAGACATACAAAATAAAACTCTTAATGTTCACAGTATGAAGTGTGCCATGGAGATGACTTCAGAGTACAATGCCGTCATTCCTGCAGACTAAATTCCACATGGTCAGCAAGAGTGTCGCTTAAATGCACTCGCAACATCTGAAGTTGCTGTCATTCTGAATTCTGAACATGACACTCGAGGCATCGTCTTGCAAATGAGGAACAATACCCTACACAGAAATGAAACACACCGATCCTATGATGCTCTTCAATGTCCATTGATTTTCTGTCAAGTTGATGGCTACAATTTCCTACTTCGCTAAACTGAGCCAGCAACAGGCTTGTCAACACAAAATTATATTTCCACCATGGACTTCTTTTCCTTCATGGTGCGAAACGGCAGCTTCAATCTTCTCTTGAGATGCAAAGAGCTCTTCCACCAATTTGCTGTCGACATGCATGCCAAAATTGAAGCTTCATTCGATTAAACCCACCAGATTGCAAAACATCCAACTGTGTCTATCCTGAAGCTCTCCAAGGGTAACGAATTTAAAATCTGTCCTCATTATGAAACAAACAAGTCCGTGAAAAGAATACACATTTACCGACTTCATTGTAAGAATTTTAATAATTATAATAAAGCCAGCATGGTAGGACATTACTCTTAGTGTTTGATTACTGAGACCTGTGCGAAGCAGGGTAACTTACGTAGTACTGAATAAATACTATACTTACGATAATGTTTGTGCGTGAGTGGGGAGCGGTAGTACAATGTTTAGCGTGCTGCGCTATAAAACCAGCGACCCGATTTATATTCCCACAGAGCCAAGGCACAACATTTGGCTGTCGCCTGATGAAGCTGGTTGTAATTACTCGCGAAACGTCGTACTCACATTGTAAATGTTGTGACTTTGGACCTCCAACACACAACCTGTGTGCTGTACTAGTGACGAATTGGCATGTTCTGTTTACGTGACAAACCTTACTAATCGGCTGTGTCAGGTGGTGGCGGGTTTAACGACACATTTATATATTTACGCGGTCTAACCCAAACAAACCTGTATTATGGATGTACATTTGTAGTTTGCGTGTCTCTCTCCCCGTGGTCGCGTGGATTTTCCTCCGGACCCTCCGGTTTTCCCCTACACATTTAGAGTCAACATCACCACGCGTTTAGAGTATTTGACAGACAGACATTTCCACACGTTGAAAAGCCACTTTGTTGTGGGCAGGTCGCTTCTTAAAAAGAGCGGTATAGCAGCTCAAGTGGGCTTGGCATGGTGAGGTAAAAAACGTGGAAGTTTTTCAAATAAAATGAAATATCTAAAAAAGTTTCTAAGTAGTGAGCCAGGTGAAGACAAATTAAACTTAAGCAGAGAATTAAAAGCAAATGCAATCAGGCGAGGGCAAGGCCAAGCATGGCTAGGCCCCGCGTTGTAATGTTCCAACCAAGAAATCGATTTCATACTCGCTGTTACTCAATTGATATCCCTACGAGAGGGAGAGAGAGAAGTAGCGAGGCTCTACCTGGCTAATCAACAACAACAACAATCACCACAACAACCACCACCACGATGTGAACTTCTCACCTCGGATCTCAGTGACAGCGCGCGCGGAGCGGCAGCTTCCTGGTATCTCGTGACGTCACGCGGCAGCAGGTGACATGACGTCACTTGTGGGATACACTCTCTCCTCCCCCAATTAGTGGCGGTGTAACTGAATAAATTACGTTAATTAACCAGGCCCATGTCGAGGGATCGGGCATGGCTGCTGATTCGGTAGCAGTAAACTCCGGACGGTTTGTATGAATATATTATATTATGGTAATGATTCGCCAGTGATTTGGGGTAGCTTTGCCCAAATAAGGATTTTACCGTAACAGAAATCGGCAGTGGTCAGACGTGACGTCACGCTAAAGAGCACGGTGCGGGGGGGGACCTTGGTGAGATGACGTCACAAGCGGGGTATGCATCCCTCTGGCGTCTCACGCCGATGAGGTAATGAGTGGTGACGTCATAGAGCGAGAGAGAGCGGGGTTAGAGTTCAAGTTTGTTTAGATTCCTTTTCCATTGCTCCTTCTCTTGAACAGAGACCCCTTGAGTGCGTGAGCTCAACAACAACAACGTGAACATTATTGTGTGTATAGTGTGTGTGTGTATACTGTGTGTGTATACATTGTGTGTGTATACTGTGTGTGTACACTGTGTGTATACACTGTGTTTACTCTGTGTGTATGTGTAGTGGCCTTATTGACGTGAGAGACTGTTCACTTGAGGCAACACGTATTTATTACAGACGCTTCAATTGCAGTGGCGAATCTGATACTTGAAGAGGTAACGGCCTCTTCACCGGTACTCTATAGAGGGAAGGTTCCCCGAGCTTTAGCCCACGTTAGCTCCCTGGTTCCCTCTATCCTGGTCCTCTCTCAGGAGGCTATCTGACCTGGCCCAGCTTTGGCGCAGGTCCCGACCACCAGCCACACGAGCCCGGCTCTCAGAAGGACATCGGGTCTCGCGGCTCTGGTGTCGCACCCTGGCTTGCTTTGCCCGGCCCTCAAAAGGACAGCGGGCCAAAGGAGTTCCAGGGTCTGGCTAGTCGATCTTCGTTCTTCACTGGCTCTTCATCTTACTTGAGTCGAACTAACTCTCAGCTCCCCAGGTCCTACCTTTTATACTGTCCCTCACTGAGGGGTGGGGCTGGGAGGGATCACAGCATCCCCCACAGCCCCCCAGGGTGGTGGCCGTAGCGGACGTGTTTGTGGCCACCATTATACAACCACGTGTCACCCTGCCATAACACCTCTACATATGTACATGGTATGTGTACACCTTGTCGGTACACTGTGTGTGTATATATTGTGTGTCTAGTGAGTGTGTATACTGTGTGTGTGTACATTGTGTGTGTGCAGACTGTGCGTGTACACTGTGCGTGCACACTGTGTTTACGCTGTGTATGTACATGGTGTGTTTACACCTCGTGGGTACACTGTGTTTGTGTATATTGTGTGTATACTGTGTGTATAGTGTGTGTGTGTAAAGGAGAGCCGACACAAGGTTGCAGGGGGTTCGTCTTTTAATCCTTTCCTCCCATCCACACCTGTCCCCAGCCTTCTCAATCTCGTTCCCGCCAAGCTCCTCCTCTTCCTGCCCGTTCTCCCCTTATATCTCCTCGCTTACTCCTCCTTCTCCTGTCACCGTCCCACGAACCCTCCTATTGGTGGGAATCCTTCCCCTGACACCCCTACATCACTCCCTCCCCCCCACCCTCCCGGAGAAAAAAAAAAGTCCTCGGTTCTGCCTACCCCATGGACCATTTAAGTCTCCCCATGAGCCTCCCCCCCCTGACAGTGACGACCGTCCTTCACCCCCCGCAACCATACATTTCAAGATTATCACAACAACATCAATTGAACGGTCTGCCCGGGTCTCCAGCCAGAGCCCCGAAACAGCCCGGACATCCACAGGCAGTAGACGACCACGTCGGCCCCCTCCGTCGGAGGCCTTCTCATCACGGTCCTCGGTTCGGTGGTGCCGGTGCCGCCTTGTCTGGTGCTGCTGTCTCTCCAGCCCCCGTGGCCCCCAGTCATGCCGCCTCTCCGTCAGGGCTCACATGAGGCACTTTAGGTGACAAGGGAACACGGCACCGAACCCCCTGCCGGTTGGTGAGTGGTAGTCAGCGACCTTGGCCCGGGTTGGGGTGATGATGATGGCGGTGATGATGGCGGTGACGATGGTGGAGAGATGTATGGCTTAAGGTGGGTGGGGTGCACAAACCATCGTCGCTTACCCAGTTGGACCTGGATGCACTGCGATCGGAGTGCTTTAACGACCTTTCCAGGGTCGGTGCAGCTCTAGTGAGAGGCCGACCGGCACCTGAGGACAGTGTAGCCATGCCTGGTCCCCGACTTTAAAGGGCTTGGCTGTCACTTTCCTCTCCCGTATCCGTACACTGCTCCCTTGGCTAGTGGCCGATGCGACCTCGGCTGCTTGGCGGGCCTCTCTAAAATAAATGTAGGCGGCCTTTAGTGCCATTGGCCACGCGTCGGCTCTCGCGGGAATGTCCGTCAGCTGCACCTCAATAGGCGGAATGAGATTTCGTCCGTACATCAGGAAAAATGGTGAGAACCCTGTTGCCGCGTGCGGGGCCACCCTGTATGCCGCAAAGACTGTTGGAATGTGGAGGTCCCAGTCGGAGTGGTTTTCGTCCACCCCTTGGGACAGCATGGCCGCGATGCTTAAGCAGCTCCACCATCCCATCGGTCTGGGGATGACACGGAGATGTTCGAACCTTTTTAGTGCACAGGATAGAGCAGACGTCCTTTAATAGCTGTGAGGAGAAATTCCTGCCTTGATCCGTGAACAACCACTCCGGTGCTCCCTTATGAAGAACATAGCCCCCCACGAAGGCATCAGTGATGGTCTGTGCCGTTTGGTCCCGGAGGGCCCACGCCATGTGTTGTGTATTACATAATAATACGCTTCAAGGCTGTGCTGAGTCTATAGCTATCACAGCGATTAATATTATTTGAATTCTTCTCAATTTCAATTGATTCTCTAATTAATCTTGGCCAGTAATAATTAGTTCTGCATAACACTTCAACGTTATCAACATCAATTAAATGTCCTTGTTGGCAAGCATGCTCTGCCACTGCTGACGGCTGTGTTTGGGAGAATTTAATGTTAATTTGGTGTTCTTTAAGTCTTACGCTAATGCTACGTCCCGTCTGTCCAATATAACACTTACCGCATAAGCAATTAATCCGATATACACCTTCAGTAATTCATCTTTAGTACAGGACACTAGTTTTTTTTTATTTTGTGTACCGTACCAAATATCACTTTACTGGTTTGCTTTTGCAAAACAGGGGCTAATTTGTCAGTAACTCCCGAGATGTATGGTATTTTTATTGTTTTGATAATCTCATCACTTTCAGTAGTATTGTTGTTCGATCTTGATTTGGCATTCAATGCTCTGTTAATTTGAGCATTATTGTAGCCATTCAGTCTTAGTGCTTCTTTAACATGTTTAATCTCTTTCCCTAAACTTTCACCATCTGACACGGTCTTTGCCTGATGTATGAGTGTCTTGATGAGAGAGGATTTCTGTGCTGGGTGATGATGCAAATCTGCATTCAAATAGGCATCTGTGTGTGTTCCCTTTCGGTAGACGCTGTTTAAGCTAATCAATACTATAACACAACAATCGGCTGATAATATATTTAATTTAAATACAACTAAGCAACTTAATAAATTCTCCAGTCCCAAATAATAACGAACAATTTAAAAAGCAAAACTGTAATGAACTTAACTAACACTGATTTAACCAGTGACATGATTTCTGTCCTTTCTAAAGGCCTTAACGTTGCTGTTGCCCCACGCACAATTCCAATAGATGAGATCATTGCCGAAGTGGAATCAGCAGTAAGACATCTTCCACAGAACGAGGCAGAGAAGATTAGACACGAGGTTTCCAAAATAATTGAGAATAGTAAAATACCTCAAATAAATATTAGCTTTCGTGAAGCAAAAGCCTTAAGAGAGCTTAGATTAAATAAATAAATTCGAATTCTGGCAGCTGATAAAGGCTGCACTACTGTAGTGATGTCCCGATCAGATTATGATAATGCAATTAAAAATTTACTGGAGGAAGATACATTTATTAAAATTAACCGAGATCCAACCAATACTTTAGAACGCAAGACTTCTGCAATCATTGCAAATTCATTAATCCCCAAGACTGAGCAATACCAAATTAAGCCACGGGCCTCAAAACCACAAAGATTATATGGGACTACCAAAAATCCATAAAATCGGTATCCCATTACGACCCATAGTAAGTATAATAGGCTCTGTCACATATAACTTAGCAAAATATGTAACTAAACAAATACAGCCCTACATCGGAAGGACATCTTAATTTATAAGAAATTCAGAACATCTTGTGAATGTGATAAAATTTCGATTTAAAGCTTTCGTGACTGCAAGGATTCATCTTCTTTGGTTCTTTCGGTAAAGTCACGTAGAATGAGAATAAAATAATAAATTTATAAACGCTGTCCTCCAGACAGTCTCGTCCCTTCACCTGATGAAGGCCGCTTGTGTAGTGGCCGAAACGTCGTGAGAATATTATTGTGTTATGTTATTTTATCAATTTATTATTTTATTCTCATTCTACGTGACTTTACCAAAAGAACCAAAGAAAATGTGATTAAAGATATTAAACTTAACCCTATTGATATTCTGGTAAGTTTTGATGTAATTTCTCTGTTCACTAAGGTTCCAGTTCACTTAAATTACTTGATACACTGGTAACGAAGATAGAAGATATTCCAAAACTAGCCGACCATTGTCTAAATAACACATTTCTTGTGGAGAGGTGACTTCTTTAGACCATGTGACCGCCCAGCGGCCCCCGTCCACCGGGGGCCGCTGGGCGGTCACACCCCACGTAGAGCCGGGATGGAAGGTCACCTTGCCGACGGGTTTTTATCCAGAAGCCCCTAATGGGATCAAGCTTCATAGTTTCCTGCGGCCGGGAAATTGGGCGACCTACCCCCGAGGCTGACGTGCACCGCGGCGCCGTGACCTGATATTAAAATTGCATGGTCACGGAAGGGGCTGTTTAGCTACTGCGAGTGGAACCACACACACACGAACACGAGTCAGCGGGCGGATAGCGGGAAGAAGGGAAAGC